GAGCGGGATCTTCTCTTTAGCAGAAGTTGCTATTAAATTAAAAGAGAGGTAATGGAAAACCATGGCCGTGAGGACTGAGCGCGGTGTAATTTACATTCCTCTTCACTTTGGAAGTGACACGAAATGTTATGGGTGAGTGCTAGGGTGTAGTTTTCCTTTTTTTCCTCAAGCAGCAAGCCTTTCAGTTTCTTGCATAGTAAATACGTTTTTAGTAAAAGAAATTGATAAGAATCTCAATATATTGTGGTATTTAATTCTGCCTTGTTAATAGTAAAAGCTGTTAACATTTAGAAAATAAAATAATCAAGGTTACCCTTGTTTCAACTGAAGCTAGAGGGAAGCAAGAGCAGTGTACTCATGTGCACAGGATTCACTCAAGTCAATCGCTTGTTCTATTATCTGTGCAATTAGAAAATCTTCTCAAATGTCTGAACAGAAATACTGAACCATTCTGCAGTTGGTGGCGTCGCTTTGGTTTGGAACGAGTTCCAAACTCGAGCTTTCTCACGGATTCAGTAGGCATATTCCTCAGCAGCAGCTTGAAATCCTTTGTCAGCTTGCGAAGGATTTCAATCTGTCGTTCTTCTAATATGAGGTAATAAAATAAAACATAGCTTAGAGTACTTTCGACACGCTCCTTTTCATTGCATTTTTTGCAACGATCATTTACGTGTGCTTTGGGATGAAGGGAGTGCTGGTGTTTGCGCTGTCGCTTTGGAGGGGGTTGTTTCCTTCTAGGAAGCAGCTCCCGGTCACCCACCGGTGCCTGGGCTGTTCCCCAAGTCCCTCTGGAGCTGAGCCCTGGCGAGGTTTCTCCCCAGAGGCCCGTTAACCTGGTAGGGCTTCCCCAGGCAGCCATCCCAGCGACACGCAGCCCCGGCACAGCGGCGTGGTGCTCTGTCCTTGCTGTGCCGGGCCGGTCCTTCGGCGCTGAGCTCACAGGTCTTGTGCTCTCGAGTTCCTTTGTGCTGGACCTTCTGCGGAGCGCAGCCCTCCAGCAGCCCGCGCGCACAGCGCTGGGCTCCGCAGCCTTCGTGCTGGGCTGTGGAACGGAGCTGCCGTGCTCTGGTACGACTCAAAAAATATTTCTAAAAAAGATCTTAACCCAAGGCTTAATATCTTTTTTTTTGGGGGGTGCTGGTAGAGAGGATCCAGTTGCTTGGTCAACATGTGAGCTACTACTGTCTACATGGTCCCCTGACAAGGAGGGTGGGCTTTTTGACTCCTTTAGTTTCATGTTGGATTTTTTGAACCTGTTAAGCCAAGTTTAATTTGACACCTCCCACCTCTTGCTCTGGGTGAGTCACTGTATTGCCACCCTGTGTGCCTGCTCCTTTTATGCTCCAAATTCGGTCGATTATGGCTGAAGAGTAATAAGATATTTGGCTATTGTTATATGGAAGCACTTCCATACCATCTTCCTGTGTGTTATTTTGCTTCTAACGGGTACTAAACCTTAATCATCCTCAGCCCCGGAGTCTGCCTGTCTGCACTTCCCCAACGGTTCCCTGTTGCCTCTGGATCCCTGGTGAAGGTTCGTTTGCCCTGAGGTTCAGTCTGACTCCTGACAAGGACAGTCTCCCCCATCCCCATTTCCTGGTGCCTCTCTGGTTGGAGCTTTCAGCATTTTCCCCCACTGTGGTTTTTAGAGTCCCGTCCCTTGTCCTGCCTCACCTGGTTCTTCAAAGGCTTCGTGGTAGTGACAGACTTATCTCCGTCGCCGGCATCTCCTCTGGGCTTCTCTGTGGCTCTCCAGACTGCTGGAAAAGTGGGAATTCTTGCAGCCAGGAATGTGGGGCTGTGCTGCCGGCTCCCTTCTGGTCACCAAGCTGAAAGCTTGTGGGTTCTGGTAATTGGTGACAAGGCGATAGCGGTTTAAGTGTTAAAATGGTTCTACGTGTTTCTTCAAAACCAGAAACCTGACTGGGTCAGCGATACCCAGATGACCTGGTCTGGTGGGGTTGTAGCGGTGAGGGGCTGAGGTTTGGCTTGGGGTGGTGCATGAGGGGACCCAAGGACACGTACAACGTGGGCCCCAGGATAAATCAGATGTTCGTGCCGCTGCTTTTGTGGTTAGAGTGATGCAGGTAACCTGGGACTTAATTCTTGCAGTTTTTGTGGCTGTCTCTCTCTTTGAAGGGGAAAACCCCCAGTTCGAGTGACATTTGGAATGCTCTTAACTCTGAAAGTGGAGCTTTGGCATAAACAAGGGATGAGGAGTAGTAGGTAGAAAACAGCAAGTGGGGGACTGAGGTACTTGCCCCTTGTCTTTCTGGGTGAGTAACGTGTGCGCTTTTGAGGTGCTGTGGCCAGTTCCCCATCGTTTTCCTGCTGTTCTTCTGAGCCACAGAGGTTAGAATAGTGGAGTGCTAGACTTGGTTTCATTTTTGTTGACAAACAAAATGTTTCTTTAACCCTTCTTTCTCATTCTGTGGAGCTTTTGGGTCTGTTCGTAACAGCATCGTGTTGAAAATACAAAAATCCCCAGCTTGACGTGATGTAATGTTATTCCCATTAAATATATTTTGAGCCTTAACGATAGGAACTTCTCGTGAGATTTAAAACTCGAACTGCCATGAACCTGCTGATAAAACTCTGTGTATTGCTGCCTCTTTATAATTGCTTCTGTCTGAGGCCAGGCCAGGTCATAGCTGAAGACCTTTGGGCCCTGAAGATGTAAAAGCTGCTGTTGATTTTTGAGGTTGCTTTTTACTCTGTTTTGCACAGACTTGGGCGCAGATGAGCGTTTGTAGTCTCTCTTGGTTCTGCTGAATGCAGAGTTATGAGCTTCTGAGTGACCTCTGTGCCTGCCTGCAGGTGATTTTCCAGGTACTTCACCAGGAGGCTCAGCCCACGGATCACAGCTGGGAGAATATTCTCAGCCTGCATATTACCCGTGGATTGTAGTTTAGTCCTTTATCACAGTACAGTTTTCAGACTCAAGGCCTTTAACTTTTTCATTCTTCAGCCGTGTGCAGGCTATGGTAAGGTTTAATTTCAGTTCTGCAAGTGATCTGTGGCATTAAATGATATAAAAAAACCGTAAAGACACTGTGGCAAAAGTTCAGCAGATCTCAGCTCCCATTAGCGTGCAGCTCGCTATCCTGTCACCCCTCTCCTTGAAATACCAAACTTCTTAATTCACAAATGAAAACCAGTGGAACTGAAAAAGAGATGAGCTGGTCCTCTCGCTAGGCTGACCGCTCTTGTGGCGCAGCCTTGCCTTGAAGGGACGTTGTATTTTCTGCTCCCAGTCCCCTGCGGAGCAAAAAGATTTGTCAGAAATTTATATGGGACTCCCAAGCGGGTGTAATTCTAGAAGATGCATCAGGTATTAATTTTAAAATTTAAGGTGTGAGTTCTGTCTATGCTAAGGATAAGAGCTCTTCTGAATGAGCCAGAAAGTGGGTATATCTGCTGGATTTGCCTCAGTCAGAGGAGGATTGTCCATTCCCTCTGAGCTATGGTGCTGCAGCTTGACAAAGTGAGCGGCCAGTGGATATAAACAGGAGCTTGTCATGCCAACCCGTAACGTACTTAACAAATTAAAAGCAGCAAGAAAGGTGCTAAAGCAGAATCTTGAATTTAGGGGGGAAAAAAAAAATCAGTACCTTGGAGTAGGAAAAGCTGTCGCTGTTGTTAAATTAAGATTTTTCTCCTGGTGGCACAGCAAAGTATTTTTTAAAGTCAGCTGACTAAGTGACTGCTGCCACAATCTCACAGCCGTGTAAAACTGTTCCTGATCTTCCTGGTCGGTGGGACCGTGTTTTCTTGGTGCAGGTGTGGGCCAGTCCTCATTGTGACACACGCAAGGCACGTGCTCTCTTGTCAAAGACATGTCGACCCTAAGGCTGCTCCACACGCCACCTGCACCCCTTTCCCATAATGAGCCATTTCCAGTAACCCCAGGGCCGAATGGATCGACGTGGCAAGGGACAAACAACCGCAGGTTAAACACCTTCTGGTGTCCGGGCTGTTGCTTGATGACCTCCCGCAGAAATTTTTCATTGGTTTTTTGGATCATTTTATATTTTTTGCAAGATTAAAGTTTTCGAGGGTTAATACTTTTAAAATATAGATGGTAAATGTCGTCACAGGCTTTTATGTCAGTCTTCTCTAATCTGAAATCGCCGGTGTTACTAGAAATAGCCAGGAGAACTGTATTAACCAGACTTGCCAGAAAACGGCAGCAAGCGATCGTTACTTTAGGTACGTTCTCACACAGCAGAGAGTCTCACCTCAGTTAACCCAGCTCTGAAAGTAATTTCAAACCCAAAAATGCTGTTGGGGAATGTATGCAGGAATTCTTGGCTGTACGCAACACACCCGGGCATCCTTGAACTTGGCTCCCTTTGCTTAGATCCATGGAGGGGGGCAGCGCTGGGTGTGGGCGCGGAGCTGGCCTCGGTGTGCCGCGCGCGTTCCTCGGGCTGCCCCGTTCCTGAGAGCCCACTGCCCCTTGCCGGGAGGGCTCGCTCTGGTTTGCTGGAGCGGGCGGCTCAGCCAAGTGCCCAGGGCTTGGGGAAGTTAAGGCTGAGCTCTGCGGAAGAGACGCTGCTTGTTCCTCGTTTCCGCGGTGGTGTTTGTGTGTGCGCAGGCAGATGCTTTTGCCGGGCTGTTACCGTGGAGTTACGGCCGCTGGTGGAGCTGTGTGTGGCTTGATGTCGTCTGTTGTGCAAGAGCTTCTGGAACAGCTTTTACACAACGGCCACTGCGGTTCAAGAACGCTGGTGTGTGTGCAGCGTGTCTGGGTTGCAAACATGGGAAGTGAACACTGACAGCAAGATTTTCAGTAAAAGCTTGGAAACAGAGCAGCGCGTGTCTCTTACTGGGTGCTCTAACAGTTTAAAAGCACTGCCCAGTACTTTTGGTGACTCTGCAGTGGAGTAACTTGTGCATATTCTTGCTAATTTGAACACAGAAAATCAAACCTGGATACCTTCAATGCTCAGGCACAGGTTTCGGTGCTGACATAGGCATAAACGAGGTTCTTTGGCCTCTCAGTGCTGGGGGATCAACCTAAGGGATTATGATTCTTTTCTTCCCTGGCTTTTAAATTCCTGGGTTGGTGAAAGATTTAAATCCGTCGTTGCATTTTTTCTGGTAGGAGTTATTGTCAAGGTCTGGCCTGATTTCCCTGTGCAATAATTGACAGTTTGAGGAGCGTGTGAATGGGTCAGGATGGGAGGTAGCCTACCAGATGGTCTAGGTATTTAGATGCCCATGTAGAAAAAACACATCTGAGAGAAAGGGAAGGGGTTTTTTTCTAAATTCTTTGACTGGAGTTGGCAGTATCAGTCACCTTGTCATGGGACTCTATCGTAGCTTTTAATCTCCTACAACTTTTGAACTAGGAAGCATGGAAATAATTTGGAGAGAGCAGATATTTAGCTCTGCTCTGCCCTCAGTAGGTTACAGAATTGGGTTTGGATATCAATGCTTGCCCACTAAATCTAGTGACAGTATATTTAGTTGTGCTTGTGTTGGTTAATGAAAAGAAATGGAAATTTGAAGCTTGTGCTGTGCAGGTTTGATATTTTTTCTGATCTTTGTTACTCAAGCATTGGAAATACAGTACAGATTAGAAGCAGGTTAAGTTTTTGAAGTTCAGGGGCAAAGCACCTGTTGATTTTCTAGTATTTCTGTACATAGAAATGGGCCAATGCAAACTGCGTGAGGTTCAGCAAGTCAAAATGGAGCTTCTATGATATTTTTAAAATCAACCCAAATTTGAAAAACATCCCTTTCAGATTTTCAGTATATAGAAAATGCAACCATAATAAATACTGTGTGGTCTCTAAGGGTGTTAGTGCTTTGATATGAATTTTCAGATACGTTACTTATAAATGAAATGCTTCAAGTTAATCTTATTTAGTGGTATGTGGGCAAAACAAAATGTGTCCAATGTAAGCCATAAAAATAATGGGTGTACACCATTACTAGCAAAGAAGAAGTCTCCAAACTGATGACTGAAACATTTGAGACTGAAGTGTTCAGTGGGTGATTCTCATCCCTGTCATCTCGTTTCAGAGATCAGCAGATGGCTCGAGCCCAGAGGATGGAGATGGTAAGAGAATGGATTGTAAGATTAGAAACCACTGGTATCCCTCTCTCCACGATTGTGTGCGTTTTCCCTAATTCCTTTTTTCTCTAGAATCTGATCGAGAGGATGGGAGCTACTGTCCACCTGTGAAGCGTGAGAGAACTTCATCCTTAACTCAGTTCCCTCCTTCTCAGTCAGGTAAGTGTTGCTACAATATAATACATGAGAGCTTTCCCTCTTACACTTTTTTTTTTCCCAGTCCCATCAGCAGTCGTATTGCTGTCTGCTGTGCTTTGGCTGAAAACCACAGTACTCTGATTTTTATTTTTTTTTCTATTGTCTATTAGCAAATTCAGTGAAGTCCACAGGAGTTGACAGATACATTTTTTTAAAAAATATTTTCAATGTTTATCTATACTCGTAGGTTCAAGTTTTAGTCTTATGCTGTTAAATTGAAGAATTTACCCGAATATTTATGATTTGTTGTGACCAGGTCACTTCTTAACAAACTGATGTGAACGCTCCTTTTTCCCTAATTATTCTGCTGCCAGGCAGATCTTCAAAGTCTCAGGTTGTGCTTAAGTTGTTTCACTCATTTCCCTTTCTCCTATTCCTTTTAAAGTGGAAAGGATTCCGTGCATTTCAGCCACGTTCTCACCTGACAAATGCCAGACAGTGACCTGCTCGCGTGCACAGGCAGGGCAGCAAAACCTCTGGGAAGGCTTGGGGGTAAATTCTTACAATTCCCATGGGCAGGAATGGTTGTGCTTGATATTTCTCTTCACCCACAGGAATGATCTCTTAAAATTCTTCTCTCTTCGCAGACAATGTGAAGTTTTTAGCTTTGCTCGAGGATTATTTTTGTGAAGATAGGTCAGTGCTTGGGGCACATGTGGAGAATTCACTGCTTTTTGTCATCTTAGTTGAAATAAAGGAGATGAGAAAAGTGGTAGAGAGCAATAAAAATACTGCTCATACAGCACGTTTGTGAAGGGTGACTAAAAGATGAAAACCTAGTTATTTCACTTTTACTTTTTAAAGAAGTCAATGGCTACAGAATTTAAAATGTAGTTGCAGTGTTCTCCTTTTGTGCTGCAAGTGCTGGGCAGGGGAAGAATCCCTTCTCCTTCCGGCCGGGACTTGGTGACGCGCAGCTTCCCACCTCCCCGGGGCTGCCGCTGCCGACGGGAGTGCTTGGCCACGCAAAAATAACAAGGAGGGGTGTTGGTCGGTAGGTTTTCATTTAGAATAACATAACTGAATGTGTGTGGCCTGTTAGGAGCTGCTTTATTTACTTATTGCACCCTGTGTTCCGAGGCTCCCTGTAATCACTGACTCCTCTGGTGTGGATTGCCTCGAGCTTTTTCGATTAGAATCTCTACGACAAATTTTGCTTAATGCTGGCATTTGTTAAGAAGCGGAGGAAAAGAGTTTATGTGGCTCTTTGGTTAAGTACAGGATGCTTCAGGAGTCCAGCGCGCTTCACCAGGCGTCTGCTGGGCTGGCACGTTTTGACTGGATCTCATCATTTGTTCCCTGTTCTCTTCTGACGTCTGGCGTTGTCAGGCAGTGATGACTTTGACTGGAATTACAACTTTCCATAAAGGTTTCTTTGAATATAGGTGACGGTATTCAATGGCCTTGGTTTGTAGAAAATTTTTCACTTTCCAAACTCCTTAAATTTGTTTTTGCGGTGTTAAATGTGTTTTCTAATATTCTACATTCCAACGTCACTTTTAATTCCTAGTTCAGACATGATCCAGACTGGGAATCTTGTGTTAGTCTCCCCTCCAGAATAAGCTAAATTTGTTCTTTCTCTGTTTCAGGAGAAACTAAGGGGATTTTGTGGCCAACAACCTCTTCATGTCTGTTACTCTAACAGTGGCTTAGTTTAGAAGGAAGAAAAGCCTAAAATAAAAAATTGCTAGAAAAATAATTTTCAACTTGCACCCTTGATATGTCTGCGAATGGAGTTTATAATTAAGAACAACGTACCCAACTTTTCTCTTTATTTTTCTTTTTCCTTGACTGCAGTAACGAAGAACAACGTCTTTATGCCATCAAGCTTCTGTGAACCCTCCACAGGCAATTCTGATTCGGAGCCAGGTGAGCTTCCTCATTTTTCTGCTTTTCCTCAGCAAAGTGGTGTCTGTCACCATCCAAAGTACTTGGATACTTCAGAGGTAAGACCCTGACCAGGAGAGCGGAAGCGATGAAGGTTCTCTTGCTCGCTTTGTTACCTGATTTCACGCGTGCTGCTGGCAATCAAAATAACAAATCTCGGCATAAGTGGTGGCAGAAAACTGCACTACCAGTCTACACCCACCTGTTAACTTTGAGAGAGAACTTAAGGGGAAGTTTCATTTATCTACGTTGAATACGGATTTTTGATACTGAAAATCAGCTCACCCGTAAGCTGTGGTCGCGGTGGTGTTCAGCCTGTGAAGCTCGTGTGGCAGCGATGTCGCTGTGTAGCACGTTGTTATCTTGCACCTGAAGAGCATGAGAGTAACAGAATAAAATATCATGGGACGGTGCTCACTTGTCTTCCTCTGAGCACATAAGTTATGCCCCTAAGAAGAAACATTTTTTTTTAATTATACCTTCTAAGTTCTTAGGAATTAATTTTTTCATAGCTGCGGATTTATGAGTATTATTTTTAAGATTTGTCTAAAAGCCGTAACTGTGGTGGCTGCGAGCAAGGGAATTTCTTTTGCCTTCATAGTATAAAAGCATAAGGGAAAAGCTAATAGAATGACAAGAAACTATTATTAAGCAATTAAGTTTAACTTAAATGATAATAATTAGCACTTAGTAGCTGTCACATTCAGTCTTTCATGTCCTTTCTTAGTTTGATTCTCTCTTAAAACCTCTATTACCCCTGAGTTCTTCATGAAAAGCACTGGTCTGTTCCATGTTTCTCCTGAAAAATTTTATTTTTCCTGCAACAACTTTTCTATCTGTCTTTGTGATGTACGTTTGCTGTCGTGATCACTGGAAGTTCAGACTCCTTTAGGAAGAAGGGAATTTGCTCTTCGGACTTGAGACTTGGGTTGTTTATAGAACTCCTGGGTTGTTGCGATGGGGAAAGCACCAGGGGTTTTTATGACTGACTGAGTGTATGTAGCGTGTTACAGCTGTGTCCTTGTTGTTTTGTGTTTTGCCTCTAGAGGAAAAGAGCAGTGGATTCCGGCTGAAGCCACCAATACTTATCCATGGTCAGGCACCTAGTGCAGGTGAGTTCAGCGTGTTCTGCAGTAGTACCAAGACTGATACACTGCCCATACGTTTGATTGTGTGAAGAACGAAAAAAAAAAATCATTTACCAGTATCTGGAACTTCCTTCCTTGGAGGGAGAGAAGACGACTTGGATTGTAGAGCTGTAGATTGCTTGTGTACCGTACATTCTCTTAGATTTTATATCTCAGTCAGTCATAAACCCTCCTTTTATACTTTCCTGGATAAAGTAGAGAATATACTTTAAAGTGTCTTTAAAGGTTGACAAGTTTTCTCTGTTAAGGCCTAATTCTGTTTTGAGGCTGAGCAAGGGCTGGGAAGGAAAAGGTGGGAGCTTTTTAAATGTCTGATCTTTTCATGGTATGTTCTGTTGGGAGAAGATTAGATGAAGCTGAGTTTGTCGCCTTTAAGATTTTATAGCTTTTGAAAAAACTTGGTACTTGCAGGTCTCCCTAGCCAGAAACCGAAGGAACAGCAGCGCAGCGTGCTACGCCCGGCAGTACTGCAGGCACCACAGCCAAAAGCTTTCTCACAGATGGGTAAATAATGCTTTTGCTTTCTGGAATGCTGTGAAGGCAGAACAAAGATACAGTCTGTTTAGTGTAGCAGTTCGTTTTTACTTAGTGTTCACCTTTTTCTCGGTGTCTCCTTTCCAAAAAAATACCTTAAGCATCAAGTGTATCTGTGTTATATAAGGGATTACACCGTCGAACCTTCAGCTTTTGTGAGGGGTGGCTGACTGACACAGCCAGGCCTCTGACTTTCGTGTAGCCCGTGCTTGGGTTTTGGAACAAAAAGACTTTCAAGGGTGTGAGAGCACTGACCATGGTGTGATAAGCTGCTGCTCATCAGTCGGACGGTAGTGGTAGGCTTGAGCTAGCTGCACGGAGATTAAAATGCCTAAATCGGGTAGGAGGTGCCTCTAGGCTCGGGGCCCATTTTGGAGTTGGGACTTTGAGATACACATGACCAAACTATGAATTAAAATTGTATTACGCTCATTATTATTGTTTTGGAATTTGATATAGCTAATTAGAAATAGACATGACTGAAAACTGGAAGTTAAAGCAAAAAATCAGTCAAGCTGTCCGTGTCTCAACTCCTGTGTTTCCCCAGCCTCTCTGCCTTTAGCTTTTTGGAAGTTCAGTTGAACTGAAACAGACGTAACTTCACTTCATGCGGAATCTGGCACAGAACCAAACGTTTCTGGCTTGATTTCTTGGCGTGTCTGTTGGCACAGCTTGGACTCTGCAGAGGGTTTATTATTGGGGTAGAAGTTTTCGGTGGGGGTTCAGAATGTCGGTAGGTAGATCAGAGCCAGCAGTGCTCCTCTTTGGGCTGAACAGTGTTACATCGGAGCAGGGCGGTTGCCTGAAGTTGTCCCTGCAGTGTTTGTATAGATTAAGTGACTTTTTGGTGACTTGACTTTCTGCATTTGGAATTTTGATTCTGCTAAGAATTGCCGAATTGTGGTTCTCATGTCTCTCGTAAAATACTGTGGGAACTCTGTAGTTGACTTTGCAGTGCTCCGTGGATTTAAACAAGAAAACGGCATGCAGTGTGCTTTAGAATAATCTAAATACCTAGAAAATTTATGGCATTTTCTCACTCCTTATTGCAGTTCTCAGCAGTGGCACCAATGGTGTAAATATCCCACCAGATTCTGCAGCCACATCGGAATCGCTAAGTAATGCAACACTGAAAAGTTCTGACTCTGAAGATAAGGTGAGTTGGAGAAGAATTGAAATGATACTCATGGTGACAAACTTTAAAATAGTGTTCTCTGAACGGAGTCAATTTGTTTGGCAATGTGAGTGCAGTTTCATCAGCAATAGCTCCCTTATCTGTCCGTATTTCCATCCTCTGGTCATATATTTTAGGTGTGGCAGTAGATTTGATACTGTACTAATAGTGTGCTATATTTGTCTTTACTAACACAAGAACTGTAACAAAGGTTTACTGAATCCAGGGTTTAGGATGGTTTTTCCTACCCGTTTTCCCCCACAAAATTAATTTTTAAAAGGCTTAGTTCTGCTTATTACCCTCATTGATCCCTTTGTAGCACAGCTATATGTAATTGGAATTCATGAAGTCATTGTCTTAAATCAATGAATCATAGAACCCTATAGTGGCCTAAATTGGAAGGGACCACCTGCAGGGGGGCATCTTCCTCCTGAGTGTCCTCTTCAGTGAAGCAGGCGGGATCCCATAATACTCTTCCTGTAGTAACTATATTGTTTTCATCAGGATATAGTCAAACTTCCTACTCTTGGTTTGTTGGATTTTTTTGCTGCTTACGATGCTGTTAAGGCTGATTGGAGCCCGCTTTGAGGGGCAGCTGCTGAGTGCTGCTTCGTTGTTCAGCTTTCGTGTGCGAGTGCGGTTGGCTCTTGGAAATCCTCCAGGGTAGGAAACAGAGAGAGAAGAGGGAGGAGGCGATTCCCATGCTGGTTCCAATTTCTTTCCAGCACTGCTATGAGAGTTTGCAGGTGCAAGGCCCTGACTATAATGAGATGAGTACTCTGATGTGAGAGTAATAAGGGGAGGTGTTGTCACAGGGGCTCTGGAAAACACCACAGCTGCAGGGAGGGTTCACAGAGCTGCTCGTGGAAAACGAGCTGCAAGTGTGCAGAAGAAAAGAAAGTCCTTGGCAGGGCAAAAGGTTCAGAAACCTTGAGGTCCTGTGCAGCAGCGATGAATGACAAGTTAAACACATGGGCAGTGCATCTTGGTTTTTGATTAAGACAGTGTATTACGCTGCATTAGTAAGACTGCAGCTGTTAGGTTCAGAAAAGTGATTATTCCCTTGGGTTGCGTCAGGAGCGTTGTGTGTAGTTTGGGGCTTACATGGAGGACAACTGGTGACATGGTCCATGGAGGTGACGATGACTGTACGTGACTGGTACATGGAGGTGACAGCCGGCTGGAGCACGCGACTGAGAGCGAGAAAGTCAAACGTGTTCTGCTCGGGCAAGGGAAAGGGAGCTGAATTCTTCTCCTTGGCTCAGCGGTGGGCTGGAGCAAGGTAGAATGAGACTTTGGAAGTGACTGCCAACCAAATGAGAGGCTGCAGGTGTCATATTTAGTGCAAACACTGAACCAGCGTACCGAGCTGTAAAACTCTCATCCTTGGATTTTTTTTCAGGCTCAGCTGCACAAGGTCTTGGGTAGCCTAACGTCGTTTTGAGGTTGATGTTGCTTTGACCAAATGATTGTCAGAGATCCCCTTGAACATTGACTATTCTGTGATTCATTAAGGAATATACTCAGAAACAGAGTTTGTTTTATTTTTTTTTTCTGATGTAAAATCTGCCTTGTAGCTCTGGAGATGTCATCGGGTTGTCCTTGCACATAACTGTGTGACTCACCATGTTATAACGTGTTTGGGTTTTTTTGTTTTTTTTTTTTTTTCTCAAAGAAGCTCGATTAACTAGGCTAAGGTTTTCAATTTCTTTTCTTTAGGCAGGAGAATGTCAGAAAAAAGAATCTAACAATACTTCAGATGATGACAGCTGTGAGAAGGCAGAACTAAATGCACAGCAAGCGTTTGTATTTGGGCAAAACTTAAGAGATAGAGTTAAGGTAAGCACGTTTTTTATCTTGACTAGCAGCTGATGTGTTTGAGTGAGGGTAAGAAGCCGTGGAATGGATTGCTTGTCGGCATGAGCGTTACTGTCTATGAAGTGCATTGAATCCACTGCGTAACAGAGTTAAAACCTCCATGTGTATGTGCAGGATTGGAAGCTGTGAACACAGTTGGCTCTTAAATAGAGCTGGTCTTCCAGACATTTAATAAATTAATATTGTTTAGTAGCATAAGAAGCTTTTTCAAAAATAAACACATCACTACTGAAGTTATAGGTAACATCTAAAGCTCAATGTGATGGAATATTTGGGTCAGAATTAAGTTAAAATGTGTTCTTAAGATGCTTCTGTGCCACCAAAACTTCACAGAGGAGGTGAGAAAAGCAAAGCAGGGCAGCCTGGGTTCAAACCTGGGCCTGGAGTAATTGAGGCAGGTTGTTAATATCTCCTGTTGAAAACAAGTTTGGGCAGATTTCCTGTGTAACACCAGGACATGGGCTTATGTCTGATTGTAGGAAGTGTGGATGGAACTTTGTCTTGGGAAAGAAGAGCTGAAGATTTTCTCGTTGGTAGTTAAACCTGTCCATACATACTTGTTCTTTTTATAGCTAGGAGATGAAAGCGATGAAACTGCCGACGTGCAGAATGCTGGCCTTCCTGCATCAGACGTACCTTCTGCAACAAATTATTTTCTACAGTACATCAGTTCCAGGTGAGATTACAGGGTAACATGTAGGATGGTTTTCCTTATTCTATGTTCAAGATTATTTGTGATTCTACTCTTCGTTGGATGCAGGGCTTATACTGGGTCAGTGGGAACCCAGGCTTCTAAAGAATGAGGTGGCAAAGCTGTAAAATGGCAAAACTACTTCCTAAATAGGATTTTAAAACTGTTAATCAAAGTGCCACTTGGGGAGAGGATGCTTGTTCTGTAAGGAAGGTGTGAGAGCTGAGGTTTGATTGTGAAACTTCTTGGGGAGGCCATAGCCTTGCAGCTGGTCTAAAAAAAGACGTGGCTTGTCTCTGCTCCTCCTGCTTCAGTCGTGATACCGCAAGTGGGTTTGTGTCAGTTCTTTCCCTTTCAGATAAGATTGACCTAAAAATGTGTAGTGGATCAAGCTTGCGTATGTAGAATGCTATTAAAATTATGTGATTAAACAGGAAGCCCTCGTTTAGTGTTCATCGTTGCTTAATATGTAAGTAGGTATCTAAAGGGAAGATATTTACAGTGACAAAATAATTTGACGCCAGTCTGAGAGAATTCTTACTCTGTAAAACCAGCGTGCTCTCATATTACTAAGTTGGATTAAATTTTACTTATATTTTTGGCATCTGGTGCTTATTTCCTGAAGCCTCTGACAGTCACTCACTTTTTGAGGAATTTTATCAGTAGAAGATAAACAAATATTTTCCCGACTTATAAAATCTGTTCTGGTTTGGGTCTTTTTTTCAGTGTAGAGAACTCTACAAACAGTGCAGATGCATCTAGCAACAAGTTTGTTTTTGGACAGAACATGAGTGAGAGAGTCCTAGTGAGTATCCGCTGCGTGTGAAATGTTGCGGTTCTGTGAGTAGTTTGCGTTCTGGATTCTCACTCAGGAATTTTGAGAACCTTTAATGACACTTGTCACTGAGTTTTCTCTGAGCTTACTCCGAGTGCAGCCGGGGGGTTTCATTGCCAGCCGTTGCTGTGACAGCGGTGCTTTCCCGGATCTCCCTGAGTCCCGAGATCGAGGGCCTTCTCCGTGCTTCTCCTGCAGTTCTAGAGCCCAAGCACTTCATGGCGCAGCTTGCTTCTTTAACACAAGTGTTTGAGGGTGTTTTATGTTGGCTGCCCTTCAAATTAACAAAAGTTCAGTTCCGTGACATCCCCAGTGATGATTTCAAGTCCAGCAGTAAGGCAGCTGCCTCAGAAATGAGATTTCGGCTCTGATTTGATGATTCAGAAAATTCTGTGGTCATTGTGTAACTTCTAGTGCCTCACTGCTTCCTACTGTTGATTTTTGTTTTTTTTGAATTATTGCTATGCTGGTACAAAAGGGAAATATTGAATGCTTGGTGTTCCTACCTGTCTAACCACTGAGCAGGGAGTTCGGTCAAGTATGCCTTGAGTAGAACTGTAGCTGAAATTGAGGTTACATTCAACAAAGCAAACCAAAATAAGGGTTGAAATTGGGGTTTAGTTCAGGGTAAAAGGATTTGAAATGATTTTCAGGTCATGCTCTATTCACTTCCTTGGCTTTACTGTCAAAGCGTGTTGCCCATAGGATTCTTCTGTTGCCATCTGCTTTATAAACACTAGGGTGTCCCTCAGTAATCAATCACTAGTTTTGTTCTGCAAAATTGGCATATTCCTTCTCTCTTGTGTTTGCTTTCTCCTTTCTGTTTACCCCCTCTTTTGTCTACGATAGAGTCCACCGAAATCCAGCGAAGGCAGTACAGAGAGTACTAAGGAGAATGCTGCTACAGAATCTGCGTCTGAATCATCTTCTCAGGAAGCCACACCAGAGAAAGGTGAAAACCAAACTATTCTTGTAGGAATGACGATTAATTCTAGTTTAAATGATGGCATTTTTCAATATCCCATTACTTTATAAGACATGACATTCTTGCGTTGCTTTTGTTGTCTCCTGCAGCTGCAGATACAGGCTGGGGGTGGGCGCTGCCGTGCTGGGTGTTGTGGATTCTCTTGTCCTTCTGTCTGTAACGTTAAACACTCTACACTGCCCTTTTCCTGGTCGGTCTGTGGTATTGGCAATATTGTCATAACCCCCTGCAGCGCTGCTGACAGGGGGAGGAGTGGCTGGGGAG